GGTCACTCCGTGCCCGGTTTAAAGCCTTGGGGATTCACCCTCCGAGAATCCAGGAGCGGGTGGGGATGGGGGGGAATTTCTGGGAGTTGAAGTCCACACATCTTAAAGTGGCCAAGGTTGAGAAACGCGATTCAGACTCAAGGCAAATGAATTTCTGCACTATATCCCTTTTCTGCCACGATGGCCCACCCAAGTTGGGTTGCCATAAAACGGACATCTTTTACAGCAGAGGCTGCACAACTTCCAGAAATTGCTAACCAACTTTTAAAGTTTTCATAGGACAGAATAAAGTCATGTGTGACTGGAATATAATCAGATCATCCATATTTAATTTTAGTTATACATACAATAAAATCAAACTTGGTTTCGTCTTGACCCCAGCATTCTGGGAGCGGGGCTGTCAGGAAAAGGTCGGGCAGAGCACCCACACTTTGTAGGAAATCAGTAGAAAATATAATGCACGACAATCTGGTTAGCAAACCAGTTAGTAAACGCGTGCTGGGAAGGAGACAGGACTGTACGACGTCTTGTTGGAGTTAAATCTAAGTTGGCAAACACAAGACATTTCAAGCGCAAAACAACTTTACAAAGCCAGAGGGATTTTACCAAGTGTTCCTGTTGTGGAAAAAGAGCTCAAAGGAACATTTCGAGTGTTGTGAGAATTCCGTCACAAGGTTGGAACAGAACACTTGCATTGTCGGATTCGGACACAACGCAGACATTCCAGTGGAGTTTTGAGGGTGCGCTCTTGTTCCAAACTTGGAGCAGACCACGCTTCCCATTTCCTTTCCACCTTCCAGCAGATTTAAGACAACACACACTGCAGCACACAAGGGGCACACCCCCTTTGGATTTTCACTTATGGCATCTTTGCCCAGCGGATCGATCAACTGTTCCTCGTCGACAGGTTCTGGAGATATGACATCTGCTCTTCCACGTCGTAACCTCAGGTCTACTAAATGGTAACTTGGCCATTTTGAGAGTTTGTTGGTAAAATAAAAGTGGTGGGGAAAAAAATCACATGCCTTAAAAAGAAAATAGATGCCATGAATGATAAAACGTTGTTGAAACATTTATTTTTATATATATTTCACAAAATTTTCACAAAAAAGTATTGAAACTCAAAAAAGGAATTAGATTTGAGTTGAATACAGAGATG